TCTATCCTCCCCGGGCAACGCACGGTGGGTGGTCGGTCTGGTCGAAGGTGAGGGCAACCTCCGACCACCGCGCCCGGCGCGTTGCCTCATGAGTAGGGGCCGCGGCCAGAAGCTCTCGCTTCATGGCCTTGAGGCTTCGGCGAGAAACGTGAGCACACGCTCCCCCATCGACAGTGGCAATGGTGGCCCCAGGCTCTTGGAAACCTAGGTCATCATCGCCGTCATCGATGTCCTCGGCGGGGGCCTTCTGCTTGGCCTCACTTCGCCGATTGCCGGAAGGAACCGCCGGGGACTTGCCCTCTCGGCGCTCCTGCCTCCTCTCCTCCTCCCACTTCCTCGTCCGCTCAGCCAAACTTTTGACTGCGCGGCAGTCCGCGAGGTCGTGAAGGGAGGTGTTGTGGACGATGCACCACTTGCCGGTTGGGCGCTCCCTACTGGGAGCGCCGGCCTCCTTCTTTTTGTCGCTCGCAGGCCTCCCCTTTCGGGTGGCCCGTGAAGCGTCCTCGACGGCGAGGACATGACCCTCGTCGTCGGAATGGGCTGACCTCTTCTTCCTCCTCCTGTCACGCCGCCCTGTCTGAGCAGCGGATCCGGGGGCGGCCGAAGCTGCCACACCGGAACCGGAGGGGTTCCAGGTCCATGCCTCCTCCTTACGAGCCACTCGGTCCGCGAGCTGAAAAAGCTCCGCGGTAGTCTGGGGCTCTTTGGAGGCGATCTTTTCGAGCATGCGGTTGTGCCGCACACCCCCCTGAACGCGTAAATCACCGCGTGTGCAGGGATGCATGGTATGGTGTTGCGGACTTGACAGAACCGCTGAATGTATGAGCGAAGTGACTCATCATCCCTTCGCTGGACTGCATGTAAGTCCGCTTCTTCACCTGGGCGCGGATATGTGCCTTGAAAGTTCATGGTGAACTGTTGGCACAGATCCTCCCAAGAGTGGACCGACGCGGGTGGCAAGTTCATTAGCCAACCCCGCGCCTGTCCCTTCAGGGCCATGGGAAAGAAATTCGCCATGACCCTGTCGTCACCCCCGGCGGCCTCGATCCCGGTCGTGTAGACCTGGAGAAACTCGGCGGGGTTGACGCTCCCGTCATATTTTTCGGCGATGGTGGGCCGGAACCTTGGGGGCCAACGGACGTTCCGAAGGCTCGCCACAAAGGCTCTACAGCCGACACCACCAACCGGGGGCACGGAGGGCTGATTCCCGCGTCCGTGTTGTGGTGACACTCCGGACGAGGAGGCGCCCTCCGTTGCGTGGGCAGCACGTCGGCCATTACGCCGGCGCTCGATACTGTTGCGGGCATCTGGCCCCCCACGCTGATCTTCCCGGGTCGGAGGTGCTGACGAGGGAGTGGCAGCCGAATGGCGAGCAACAGCCGCCGCCCGCCGCGCCCTCCGCCTTGACGACGCGGAGCCGGTGGTAGCAGCACCAGAGGCCTTGGTGGCGGAGGACCGCCCACCAGCATCTAGGCGCTGCCGCGCCGTCATGAACAAGTTGGCCACGTCATCCAGCCAACGTTGGGCTGGAGACTCCGGGTCAGGGACAACGGGCGGGTGACGTAGGAGCGCACCCGCCGCTTGGAGTGCGCCCTGGGCGTGCTGCCGTCGCCGTAGACGAGGAGGCGACGCTCCCCATCTCGGCGCCCTTCTCCATCACCCGTGGATGTCGAAGTCGCGGATCCTTCGACCCTCTCGAGCGCCTCCTCCCGCCTAGGACTTTGGCGTGGAGGGGGCGGTGGAGTACGAGCTCGACGGCGTGGGTTTGGCTCCCCGTCGTCACCGCTAACACTCGGAGAGAGGTTGTGCGCCTTTGCTTGTTCGGCCATTGGGCTGAACAGGAAAAGCTTGGCGCACACGAAAGAGTGCGAGAGCTTAGAAGAACACACGCAGAGCCCCCTACCTGGCGCGCCAGATGACGGAGCGTGGGGGCTCCTCACCGGGAGACCGCGCAGGCCCCCCTTTGCAGGTTCGGCCGGGGACCCTGGGTGAGATTCTAAGCTCCTAGTTTGTGGAAGGTTCGCGAGAGTGGAAAAAGCACAAGACACGGGCGATGTATACAGGTTCGGGCCGCTGAGAAGCGTAATACCCTACTCCTGTGTTTTGGTGGATCTGTGTATGAAGAAGCTACAAAGAGCTGGAGAGCTCGAGAACTCTAACTCCCTCCTTCCTTTCTTTTTCGTCCTGGATCCCCCTCCCCTTTTCTAAGTGGGCAAGGTCCTCCTTTTATATCTCAAGGGGATACCACATGCACCATCTCTCTTTTTTGTGTGGGGACTTATCCTATCTTTTCAAAAATGGACGGAGATTTGTATGATTGCCGTCCGAATGACCTTCTGATGGGACGGCCCATACCTACCTCCACTTCCGCCGGAAGCAGGCGCGACGTGGGAACATGGCTGTTTGCTGACGACATGACCAGTGTCAGACCGGTCACAAATCGGTCATTCTTGACCACCACGTGTCAGTTTAGCAATCTGCATGTTCATCCTTCTTCATGCAATGTCTTGCTTGTAATGGTTAGGATGAAGCCTGGCATATATCTGACCGGGTCCAACGTGCCACCTCCAGGAGCTAACACGCCGGCTCCGGCTAGGGACGAGTGCTTGGAGGCTCTCATCCTGACGGGATGGGGCGAGGCGTGCGTCAGACTGCCTGTCGCCACCTAACCCACGATCTGATCGGTCTGTGACTGGTCACAGACCGGATAAACAAGCGCGCTACACTGGGTTACATGCGGCGTGACGCGCTCGTCCAAATCGCAATAAATGCGGTTAGGTGAGCCCCGCTGCGCTCACCTAACCCATACACGCGGCGCAAAACCTACAAGGGGTCGGGGCGCCTCAGCCCTCGGGGCCGAAATGGGAGCGGTCCGACCCCTCGGGAAGACAAAGAGGCGGCCACATCACCCTCGGGCCCGACCCCCCCGAGGTGGTCAGGCCTCGTGGGTGATTGCTCCTGCCCAAGCCTCTAGTCATGATACTCCCGGTCCCATGTCACCGACACCATGAATCCCTTTTATGCATATCTGGATTTGGATCCTGCAGAACAAACATATAGGATGAGTAGTATCTGATGTAAATATAATACTCGAGAAAAATTCAAGTATTTTAAAATGTTTATAAATATGTATTTCTCCTCTTGTCAATTTTGATTTCCCCGAGCAGATGATTCATTACGTTTAAACGCTCTGTCCGACTAGTCATAGCCCCCAAGCACCGGGAGTCGGCCTAGGCACTTCCCAGACATGCATATGAGTGACATGAGTTCGCCATTAATGGAACAAAGTTTCACGAATCAGAATTTACTACTCGGGTACTTTTACAATTATTAAGAGTAGAAAATAAATTATCTTATCTCTATGCTTTTGATTTCTTCCGAGTAATACTTAGCACCTTGCGTTACTCGGTCCATCCAACGAGCCCCCGGGTGCTAGGAATCGGCCCAAAGGCAACTATCCATCGACAAACCAAACGGAAAGCATAGGAAGATAGAACTCCATAACTCGTAGGCACTTTTGTACTCAGATTATATCGCAAGCAATCAATATAAATATTTATGAAAATTGTTACAAAATATGATATAACATCTGTAGCCCCCGACTCACTAGTCAACGGCGAACCAGTTGATGTAGTGAGGCAAAGGAAAAGGCAAAATATCACATAAAGAAATAAATGATGACTTAGCTTTGTCGTATTCCCTCGGTGACAGCAAAAGTAGCCAATGTGGGAACGAAGCAGTCCATCAATGGTGACAAAAACACCAGTCGGCGCCAGTGGAACCAAGCCAGTGGTGTAGATGATGAAGCCCATTAATGGCGGCGAAGTCCGCCAACCGTATAGGCGAAAACACCAGTCAGTGGCGGCAGAGGCAGGCCGGCGGTGAAGTCGTAGACGCCTAACAACGGCGGTATAATAGGCCAGCCGTGCTGGCGGAGACACCAGTCGGCGGCGGCAACGGCAAGCCGGTCGGTGAAGACGTAGACGCCTAACAACGGTGGCATAATAGGCCAGCCGTGCAGGCAGAAACACCAGTCGGCGGCGGACGAGGCGGCCGGTCGGTGAAGACGTAGACGCCCAACAACGGTGGCATAATAGGCCAGCCGTGCAGGCGGAGACACCAGTCGGATGCAACGAAGGCAAGCCGGTCAGTGAAGACGTAGACGCCCAACAACGGTGGCATAATAGGCCAGCCGTGCAGGCGGAAACACCAGTCGGCGGCGTACGAGGCGGCCGGTCGGTGAAGACGTAGACGCCCAACAACGGTGGCATAATAGGCCAGCCGTACAGGCGGAAACACCAGTCGGCGGCGGACGAGGTGGCCGGTCGGTGAAGACGTGGATGCCCATGAACGGTGGTGTGACCAACCAACCGTTTAGGCGAGGACACCAGTCGGCGGCGACGGAGGCAGCCGGTCGGTGAAGATGTACATGCCCATCAACGGCGATGTGACCATCAAACCGTATAGGCGAGAACACCTGTCGGCGGCAACGGAGGCAAGCCGACGGTGAAGTCGTAGACGCCCAACAACGGTGGCATAATAGGTCAGCCGTGTAGGCGGAGACACCAGTCGGCGGCGGCGAAGGCAGCCGGCAGTGAAGACATGTTTGCAACCCATGGGCAGCGATGGAGTGCATGCACACAAGGAGCAAACTAATTTGATTAGTAATAACAAAGTATATAGAAAAAGTATATGCATGCCACAAACATGCATATTTGCATGTAGATGTGGCTGTCTGATTTGGTTGTCCGGATGGGCTTCCTAGGGCGACACAGTGGCGATTCGGAAAAACTCACCGACGGTCATACATGCAACCAAAAAATCAGTAAAGATGAATATGTGTTAGTCTGTTAGGAATCAATGCAGCGCAGCACAGGAGGCGGCAGCACAGCCCAATCCAATCTCCCAGCGTTAGAGAAGCTAGACAGCTGTTGATCTTGATAGCCTTCGCGTTTGCTTGCATGCAAAACAAGCAACGTAGTTTGACTAGTGCACACAGCATGCCGTGTGATTCCCGACGTAGACGTGGCCAGCCGATGACTTGAACTTGCACCGAGTAGGACTCGGATTCGAGCGGCCACGCCTTACCCGTGTGTCCTCGGGGGAACACCTCGGCCACCGGCAATATGTGCAAACAGGAAAAAGACAAACACATCAACCTGTGATTAGGAATTAATCTAGTATAGATTAGATTAGAACGATGAATCCGGATTGGAGATTCGAGCCATCGTCGGTGAGATTGATTCCATCGCACTTCTCGACGGAAACTCGACGCACCCCTACCTGGCACGCCAACTGTCGAAACATGATTTCGGCAATAATAAAAAGGGGTAGCACACGAGACCTAAAAGTGGATGGATGCAGAGACAAAGGATTTAGACAGGTTCAGGCCCTCTCAATGAGAGGTAATACCCTACTCCTGTTTGGGGATTTGAATCCGCCGGGTGTGTATTGATCTGACGATCAGGTTGTCTCATGCCTCTTAGAGGGCCTCCTGCCCACCTTATATAGGATGGGGGCAGGATTACAAGATAGAAACCTTAACCAATAAGGTACCGATTTCCTAAATCTACTTTACAATCTTATCAAACCAGGACTTTAGGCCGTTCCATAATATACAGGGAAACGTAATACCCAAGTCATGATCTGTTACATATTCCATACATATATGTTATCCCCTATTACTAGTCGGATAACCATGCCGTGTGGGTATGGGGTACCCATAATCTCCACAGGCGGGCTCCGGGAGGCATGCGGCACAGGCCTCTACTCCACCGTGATCATCTCCTTCCTGACCGACTTCGGCGGCGGCAACTACAAGCTCAACCTCGCCGGCCACGCCTGGAGCGCCGTCGGACCGGACGTCAAGTACTGCCGGTCCAAGGGCGTCCTCGTCCTCCTCTCTATCGGCGGCGGCGTCGGCAGGTACTCCCTGGCCTCGCAGGCCGATGCCAAGGCCGTCGCCGACCACCTCTGGAACTTCTACCTCGGTGGGACCAGCACCATGTCCTGGCCGTTCGGCGACGCCGTGCTCGACGGCGTCGACTTCGACATCGAGCTGGGCAGCAACGCCCACTACGGCGACCTCGCCAGGTACCTCAAGGCGTACAGCGGGAGGAAGCCCGGAGGGAGGAAGGTGTGGCTGACGGCGGCGCCGCAGTGCCCGTTCCCGGACAGGATGCTCGGCGAGGCGCTGCGCACGGGGCTGTTCGACCGAGTGCACGTCCAGTTCTACAACAACCCGGTCTGCAACTACCGCGCCAGCAACGTGGCCGCGTTCACCTCCGCATGGAACAAGTGGGCGGCGAGCCTCCCCGGGAGCTCCGTCTACCTCGGCCTCCCGGCGGTGAGCGGCGCAGCGAACAACGGGTACGTGGCTCCGGCGACGCTGAAAGAGAACGTGCTGCCGATCGTGCAGAAGTCCAAGAACTACGGCGGTATCATGCTGTGGAGCAGGAACTGGGACAAGCAGACCGGCTACAGCAAGAGTGTCAAGTCTGCCGTGTGATCACCGACCGGACTACCGGTTGGTGTTTTACGTGTGCATTTGTTTCAGTGCCATTTCCACTTTGAATAAAGAGCAGGTACAATAAGACTGACTCATCAGCTCCAAAAATTACCATGTCATCTTATTCCTACATGGAAGGGAGAGAAACGAGGAGAGAGAAGAAAGCGGACGACTAATCTGTCGCCGGGCGTTACACAATTTTTGATGTGCTATCGCCCGCGTGCAGTCGGCCCTGGCGGTAAAAGACACGGTTTGTGGGGCCCGCACACACCTCCCGTGTAATATGCGATCTCCCCTCCCTCGATCCTTTCCGGCTTTCATGGACTTCTCACTGGCGACTGTGGTGGTTTCTCTTCCGCCCTCACGCCGTCCCCTCTCCTGTGCTTCCTTCTCCCTCACCACGCGTGGGGACCCACCACCGCACCACCGGCCGTAGGGCTTCGGCTCCACCATCCCCATCCGCCGCCTCTTCCCCTCCCCGCAGCCGTGGCGCCACCGCCCTCTGCCTCGGCAGCGCCGCGGCGACGGCAAGAGGGAGGAGCGGACGAAGCTAAGGGAGCGGCACCACCGGGCCATCACCAGCCGCAAGTTGTCTAGGCTACGACAGCATAGCAACTTCCCGCTCTCCGCGCGCGCCGACATGAATGATGAACGATGTTCTCGCCGCACTCGTGCGCGCCGCCGGTGTCAGGCCCGCGCGAGTTTCAGGCTGAATTCAAGAGGAAAACATAGAAGTTGCAGAGATATTTGGCTAGGTTAGCTACTTAATAGGAAGAAAATTGATAGAAATTACACTGGATTGAAAGAAACAGTGTAGAAACGATGAACTGAAACTTGCCTAAGCCAGTTCCATGCTTCAAATTTGCCCTCATCAACTTCTCCATAGCTACATCAAATTCATATTGCCTATAAGCATAAGCAGCAGCTTCCATCAATTTTTTTAAGTCATCCCCTCTATATCCAGCAGACACAAAGTTGGCATGCAAATGCCTAAGACAGAACCTATGCTCAGCTGTAGGAAAGACATCAGGTATGGCTACCAATATTCCCTATAAAATACAAAGAAGTACATTGTAAGAAAAAGAAAATTTTCAAACATATCTAATGTGAAAGTAGTAATGTCCAATGCTAAGATCTGGAACATATCTTCTGCCTATCACTCATGAAAACCCAGCCACCATGCTCATGTCCATCTCCAATGCATTCTTTTAAGCAGTTCAAGAACCATTGCCATGAATGATTGTTTTCAGATTCAACTATTGCAAATACTAGTGGACAGAGACATATTGTTATTGGCATCTCTACCAGTTGCTGCTAGGATCTGTGCTCTATTTGGTAGCTTAACACGGGTTCCATCGACACCTATAAAAGGTCTACAGGCAGCTATAAACCCATCAATCTGAGCTTTAAATGATATGAACATTCTTACAAACACAAGGTTCACATCTGGATCCTGTGGTACAACACACTTCACTACTACCTTGCTGCCTGGGTTAACAAGCAAAAGGGTATGAGCATAGTCTTGGATCCTCTTGAACTGATCCATATGGTCACCTAACACCATTTTAACTGCTTCCCTCTTAGCCCTGTAAGCTTTGTACTTCGAAATTCCAATATGTGTGTCTCTTAGCAGTTAGCACAGAGTCCCACAGATGTCTAACCTTCCAATCTCTATCACTTCTAAAATCTTCAACATAGTCCTTTGCAATCCACTTTGCATCCAATTGCTTCACATCATGGGACCTTCCACATGTATGATCTTTTATAAACTTTTTTAACTTGAATGTCTTCTCACCAGGGATCACTCTTCCATACATGTACCATGCACAACCTTGTCCCAAACACTTAGCAGAACCTTTTCAGGATCATTCTTCCTTTCAACCTTCCTCCCTTCTCTAATTATCAGATTCTTCATGGCCTCCCTGAATTGACCAACATCAGTGAACAACATACCCTCTTGGATATATGGATGCCTCATGGTACCCTCATCAAACCAATTGTCGTCAACGCCCCTTGATCTGTGCACAAAAAGTTGAGTTTCATGTGCCTCATCTAGAGTGTGTTGCCATCATTTGGTTCATCAGACAAATATACTACATCAGTATTTTTCTTTTCTGAACTTGATGCAGTAGCATTCTACTTTGCTAGGCTCTTTGCCCTTCTAATTGATCTCACACTAACCTGGTTATTGCCATTATCATTACTTCTACCATTAGTAGGTAATTTACCATCTTGTTTTGCCCCGATGTGCTGCTTCTTCCCAGAGTACAACTCATCATCTCCACCATCACCATCAAATATATAATCACCAGCATCCACAACAAGTTTTCTACCTCATGATCAGGTACAATCTCAACAAAAGACGAGTAATCATCAATTTCATTCAGAGCAAAGTATGTCTCATCTTCCACACTATCGTCGCTATTTGATGTTGCTACTATGTCTCTTATAGCAGCACTACCTTTTCTTCTACTAGGACCGTTCACTAGAATTTCATCATTCATCACTAGCCTTGCAGGACCCAGGACAATGTACAGGCTGCAACTACTTTTTCCTTCATAATCAGTCAATAGTTGAATGCATTGGTTGTCATCCATTAAAAGCACAAGACCATTGGGTGCAAAATATCCAGGCTTCAAGTAATACAAACTATCATTTTCCTTGAGCCCAAATTCTTTCAGCTGATCTCGCAGCTTGAAATAGCTCAAGTAATCCTTGTTGAATTCATGGATACTTGAACGACCTTGATATGTGATATTGTCCTTACTAAAAGAACAACCGTTGAAAAATCTTCAGCCTTATCACACCGATTTTCTCCATCTACAAAGATTTCATCAACCAAAGTGATGAATATGCATAAGCCAACACAAAACAGAACAAGTACTTGAAAAAAATTAATCAAATTTTAAGCCCATGGCCAAACATCTATTACTAAGAACTATCGATCAACCATGGGACTAAACCCTACCCACAAATTCCCAACGAAATCTCTACAATTTGAAGGCCTCATGTGCTCCTACCATATAGATGTCATTAAAAATCCCATTATCAACTTCCCTAAAACCCAAATTCACACGTCTACCTTCTCCCACAAATTTGCTCACCATGCCCTAACATACAAGAAGAGGAAAGAAACTTGCCGTGTTGTTGCACCGAGGTAGCCAGAACTGATTTCTCAGTTCTCACCAACAGAACGGAATGAAACTGAGTTGTCACCAATGGAAGGAAGGAGGAAGGGGCACTCGATCGCCGCCAGTCACCCTTGCCGATCGCCGCCATGCTTAGCCCTCCTGCCGACGGCGGAGGTATTAGCGCTACAAACTTGCTTGTGATCAAACTCGATTCAAGGGTGTGACTAAACCAAGCCACGCTGGAAGACCTCGATTTTGGCTGATCTAGCCCGCAGCGCATCCACGATGGCAAAAATGAGCTGACTCATCTATTCACGTGTGGACACTGGGGAGGTAGTGCTTTTGGCATAGTTACTTCGGGGTGGGTGGGTAATTGCATCAAAATGGGTTTTGGGAGAATATCAAATCAAGAGTGACAATTGGGGTGGTGTTTGCAATTTTGCCAAATATTTTTGCCACATGGAGCGAGATGGTATGACATGTGGGTCCAAAATTACCAAATAATAAACGTGTCCGAATATACCCAAAATTGGACTTGTTCTGTTGCATATTACGAATAAAAAATATTGGTGTAAACAGATTTCAAATTTGATGCATAGTTTAAAGTTTTGAGGTGTTAAATAAGAAGAGAATGACTAGTACAGATAAATCACGTTGGTCTGTTAGTAACGATCACGTGTGTTATGCTGATTATCAAACATGGTAACCACTGTCATTAGCAAGTGACATGATTTTTTTTCTTTAACAAGTCGGGTGGATTAACTCGTCTAGGCCTAGGCTTATCATGAAAATTAACACGTGATTCTATCGCTTGGCGCTGGAAACTCAAAGGTGGTTTCCATCGCCTCTGCCTATATGTTGGTCTTTCTTAACCTCACTGATAGAATCCGCAAGCACACGGGAAAATACCGATGTAGCATTTCACCCGGGAGTATTCTTAGGTATCGATTTTCACAGGGAACGTGTGTGTCGACTCTAAATTAGGTTCATCCAAGGACACGAAGCGATGGATAGGCAAAAGGATAGAGAGGTTTCACCAGTGAGAAACAATGTCTACATAAAGCTTAACTTTAATCCTAACACAATACTTCGGGCACTGGCCAGCTCGCTGCTCCCAGATATCGCTCTACTGTGCACCCGGACAAGGAGGACTTTAGTGATAATGAGGGCTGTCACCATCTCTACACCCACCTCACACCTATTGTGGGATGCGGAGCAAACACTGGAAATTAACTACCTAGACACCGTGTCTAAGCAGATTAATTACTTACTTTAAAGTTAGCTACACACTAAAGTAAAGCACTATATTTTAGTTGATTATAGTGAACGATGATCCTGTATGCTGATTAGGAACTAACTAAGAAATAATTCTCACCAAGCAAAACTAAATTACTCAAAAGATATTTCTATTATAATCAGAGTAATTAACAGAGTAAAAGAAATAAGAAGAGGATTACCGACAACTCCGAAACTCCTACTTCTTCTACTCTACTCTCTCCCTAATCTAGTATACAATAAAGTACAATAGAGCCTCTTATAATTCAGCTCAAACTTGGAGTGTGTGAGTGAAGTGAGGAGGTGAAGTCTTTATATAGGGCAGGTATGACGGTTACAACGATGCGAGTTGTCGTTTGTGCCCTCCAACCACCATCCGGAGCTCATCAAAACCGTTCACGCCAAAACCTAGATCGGAGGACTGTGCTGGGGTTTCGGCACCCATGTTTGGCACAACCAGCCCCAACTTCGGCCTGTTACTCCTTCTCTGCATCCTTTATCCATTTCTGCGAGTGGAAAGCCCCATTTGAAGATGTTTTCTGATAGTTTCTGGCCCACTGTTTGTATGGATAGGATTTCATCTTCACTTAAGTCTTTTTTTGGTCCAACTTTGACGGTTCATCACCTGCATACAAATATATACCAACACTCGTGGAAGATATTAGAATTAAACCCTATTACTATGTTGGATGTTTTATTTCTTTGATTTATGCAGCTATTGGCGGCATAAAATTGGCATTTAACAGCCGCCAACACTATATAAGATGCAGACCCTTCTCGCAGAAGGCCGCACACGAGACTGGAAAAATAGGCAGTGACGAGAAAAAACGGAAAGACTATCTCCTGAAGAAACCACAAATAATTCATCTGCAGGCGGTGCTTTGAGAAAATTAAGACTTGTTGGTGGCTCGCAAACAGTCGTGCCGTGCAGTGGAGATTGAATTCCCCATCATCAAGCTGATGTTGTAGGTGGAGATGATCGTGTTAGATGGCGAGTTCGAGGAATAAATTCCTCCAATCCTGTTGGTAAACCGGTCGTTCTAATGAATGATCGGAATGATCGGACTACATCTTTTCTTCTCAACAATTGGAGCGCTCTGGAAATCAAATCGCTTCTACTTTCTCGAAACATAAACTTGGGTACGTCTAATATGCGTATCGGACCATCCTCGTATTTTTTTATAATCAAAACACATGTTTTTATGATGCACATGCTGGGAGGGAGCCCCAAATTACAAAATAAAGGAGTGGAGATTAAAAATACTTGACGTTACGTTCAAGACCGATAAGGTCTGGGAATGCATTGGCTAAAGCTGAAAAAGCTATGGACACCACATATGTAATAGACAAAATCACGACCGAGTGCCAGCAAGGCCAGGTCGTTACATTATTAATACGTCCAAACAACAGGAACAGATGCACCATTGTTGGGCACCGACGAGGCAAAAGCAACTACAAATCCATGTCTGATGAAGGCCGAAATACATGACTGGGCACCGACGGGGCAAAAGTCATCCCCTTCATTGTGACACTTGTTCTATACACTGACATAATAATAATGTACCGTGACCGGATTGGTGAAGCAAAACCGCCCGTTCTACCGTACTCAACATTAAATCTGCACCAACATCAACCTTCGACGAGCAAATTATTTTGAAGACGACGAACACAGGCGCAGCTTAGTCAGAGGCATTCCATAGGCTCGTACTATCGATGTAATTAACCGGTAATCTCATTGCTAGGCACCGGGAATCAGCGGACTGCATACAATCTCCTGTCAGCATACCTTTCTATTAAGCATTCTCGCGAAGGCAAAAGGTGAACTCCTGCGGGAGCCCTCATGTATTTGTAAACATTCATGTTAATGAATCATGATTAATAAAATACGTGGTTTCCCTATTTTCTTTGTATTTGTTGTTTTGTTTTCATGAAACAAAATGGCATGCCCAGTGGGACCTATTTCTCCTCCCATCTCTGCTGTGCTGTGATGGTCATCGTCAATTCTTATAAAAAATGTTCGCTAAATGGTGCTGATTAAAATCATTAACTGGTATAATGATGGCCGGTTGGAAAAATATATGCGCACCATGTACCTGTGTGCATGCATTGTTTGAATATTCATCAATCGAAGACCTGTTATGTCTGCTATAGTAATAAAGCAACTAAAGAAATGATCGTGAGTATCCTTTATGTGAGGAAATAAAAAAATGGAGGCCAATACACATATATTGTTGGTAACAATGCAACCCTCCTATTAAATTTGACTTTGTGTACATACTGTTCTGGTGCAAATCAAAATATATAAAAGCAATAAAGGAAATGTTCACTTCGCTATATTTGAAATAAATAAAATATTTGAAGAGCTATTACAAGCCTGAAACAAGATTTTGAAACTAGCGTCTACTCATTTAATGAGCAACCTATGAAAAATAATCAAATATATTGTAGACATATTGAGACAAACCAAACTTGACTGGCTTAGTAAAGTCTACATTATCTTGGAGAGACTCTTGGTGCATGCTCGCCTGCTCTAAATGCTCCACAATCTCAGATCCTCGATCTTTAGCTTGACGATGTCACTCAAGATGGGTGTTCAAGTTCTCTATTACAACATCTTGTCGGCATTGCGCACTGGATTAAGCATCTTCCACCTATTGAAGTCTTGCTTGCAACACTGCTATCTCTGCTTTGATTTTCTGGGCTTGTCACAAGCACTCTCTCTTATTGCCTTCTTCTACTACTCGTTCTATGTTATATTGACTCGTTAGTGCTTCCAAGGCAATGCACGATCACTCCAACTTGCCTTAAGCAGTACGGAGCATATTGACATGTTGGTTAATCTGGTCTTGTTGTGCGAGAATAAGATTAGTAATTGGCAGTGGCGCTTCCTCTGATAGCGCTCCCTTTAGCACACGTAACCCTTCCATTAGCCTAATTTCAGGAGGTGGCTTTGAGAAAAAGTTACTCCACAAATCCAGATTGATGCTAGTCTCTTTAAGTACAATATCCTTCTGTACCGGGCATTGTTTGAGTAATTCTTGAAATGCTTTGATCTCAGACCAGACATGTTTAAGACCATGAGCCGAAACAACATCTGAAAATTTTGGAAGGGTCGCGGAGTTGTCCCCATGAAATTCATTAAACTGGGAGCTTTTCCCTGCATCAGAGTTCCTGTTCGGTGCTTGCGGGACTTGTGCTTGATATGCTCAATATCCATGGATAACTTCGTGGATTCACTGGACAATTTTTTAGCACATGTCAATGTGGCTGAAACACATGAGAAGGGGAGTGCGTGAAATTGATTATTTATAGAAAAAAATGAACAAAGACAAATATAAAATAGATGAGTTATACCTTGATGACACTTTCCTCCCTTCATGTATCAGGGTTAGCCTCAGTACACGCCTCATTGTTCTCTGGGAGATGTGAGTCAACATGGTCCTCCTGAGTAGCATCTGGGAAAATAGGTGAGTCCAGATAGAGACCGGTTTCAGGGTCTGCCCCTCCATCTAAAAGAGCTGCTATATCAGGAAACTCGCTTGTAAAAAGATCTATGGACGGAGTGCCTATATCATCGGGTGCACGTGGAATAGCCAACCCTTCACTGTAGGGGTCAGTATGAGTCGTGGCTGACGAATTGAGTACAGTCTCACTACGAGGAGATAATGCCAATGACTCCTGTTGTGAAGCTTGGAAAGAAGCAATAGTTGTGACGTTGTCTGAATAAGCAATACACGCTCTGATTTCTTCAATGTTTTTTCCGACTGTTTTGATCCTAGCTTCACACGACCTATGTAGGCTTTGGGCTTGCGGCGGGTGATGGCGATGTGGTCTTGACCTCAGCTCGAGTGCTCTTCTTCTGGTGCTCAGGAGGGGTCAAGATGGACTCGGCTAGTTTTTGTTGTTGAGTAGGTGTGCCCTTGCTAACTCCTAGATCCACTAAAAAAATCAGAGGAAGTAGTACCAATGATCGTTCGGACTTATATTTAGAGGAAACAAATGAATAAATAAAAATAGACTGTAATGAACCATGCACCTGATGTTTGGGTTGCAGGTGCACTATTCTTGGGGGCAATGTTTATGTCCCTGAAGCGTGTTAGCCGTGAACAAAATGAGGCTGGATGTTCTAGAAAGTTGAAAGCTTAGGAGCACCATTTGATATAGTGAGG